GCCTCCCGGAAACCACCCTGGAAGGTGCCGCAGTATTGGCAGCATCTCGACAGGGTGGTTCCCGCTTGCGAACTCTGTGGTGCAACTGAGGCCCTCTTCTATCTTCTCTAGGAGTTCCGAGTTGTTTTCTTCCTCGGCCTCGAGACCGTAGAGGATCTTCAGGTTCATTGCCGATAAGGTGCTGGAACGCTTGATGAGCGTCCGCCATAGCGTGGGATACGAGCCTGGAGGAACAACTCACTAGCGCAGGTGCTCCTCGGTACTCCCTGGGGACTCCAGACACATTCTCAGGAATCTCTGAACGTACTTACACTCGGTCTCCCGGTAGCTACCTACCACGCCCGGATGGAAGACCTGCCAAAACGCACGCTTGTGGTCTCTCCACAGCTGCCCATACTGCATTCCCGAAAACGCAATGTCGTTGCCGATGCTGACGGTTGCGACGTCACGGAAGAGCTCCTGCCGAGACAGCGGCATGATAACGAGGACACGAGACTCACAGCGGTAGGATGTGGGCGACGGGTCTACTCGACGTGTTGGCGGAGCGCTTCTCCAGGAGCTCTCCTGCAGCCCGGGTGCTCCCAATGACGAGTATAGATTTCCCGAGAATGTTCATGTATACAACGTCCCCTGGGTCGGGCTGCTCAGCATCATCGTCGTTGGGTTACGGAGAATGCTCACGCACCGTATTCTGCACACATGTCACGGAACCCGTGCCATTGCTTGAGCCGAGGCATGTCCAACAAGTTCCCTATGATCGGGAGCGGTTCGGGTCCTGGAGGGAGGGTACGGCCACGCAACCGACGGTTCCATGCCATAGACGCTTTGATCCGCATCAAGATGAGGTATAGGGCCATAAGGACGCCGGTTACGCCGAGGGAGCGTTCGTTGGGAGAAAGGGTCTCCATGGCGGGGGAGGCAGGGAAGGCGGTCTCGTTGGGATCCCTGGAGTCGTTGAGTTCATGGCCCTATATATACGGTGCGGTGAGTATCGACGTGAAGAACGGCGCGCGTGACTGATGTATTACGCACCCTGACCCAGCTCCTGGTGGGTATCCTTGGTGGTACGTCGGTAGCATTCAATATCACTCCGCGAAAATCGAATGTGGAAGGCTAAGGATTACACAGGCTGCGACGATGTAAGTCTGCACGGCATGGGTGCGGTATGGGATGCGACAGCACCAGCAGTTGCTACCTTGCAGCGATTCGAAATGGAAATGCTGAGACTCAGTATAGTTGGATACTCGGCCCTATTATCCACGTTGAGCGCTTGAGCGCCAACATAGTGCGTACCTACCAAAGGCGCCCGTAGCAGTAATGTTGGAACGCGGAGGCGGACTCGAAACGTTGGTGGCGGCGCACCGGAGATTCAGGTCACCTATCAACATATATCCATCCAAAATGCTACTACAGGTTGTCGACGAAGCGCCATTGCTCGAAACCAAGCTCACAGCTTCGCCTCCTTCTTCTTGGCCTCCGCGGCGGCCGCACGCTCCATCATCTGGCGCGTCTCCGTGGCCGCCTCGGCGAGGTAGTGCTTGAGCTCCGCGGTGCGCCGCTTCAGGCTCGTGATCGTCCAGCGGATGTAGTGGTCGCCGATCGAGTACGATAGACCGTACCCATCGGGAACGACTATGTTCAAGCAGCCGTTCGTCAGCAGAGCGAGTGAACGATTGATCGTCGAGCATACCTTCGCCGTAGCCCCAGCCGTCGAGGTAAGGCGAGGAGAGCTGCGAGGTGGAAAGCTCCCAGTGGTTCGTCTTCGAGAACGCCTCGTCGGTGTAGATCTCGGGCACGGGCTCGCCCTCCTTGAGGCACTTCTTCAAGCCGAACAGGTGGCGGTCGACACCCTGGCCATCCGCGGCCCACGCGGCATACTGGAGGTGGCGCGACACCGCCTTCCGGAAGAGGGCGGCACGTTGCTCGTCCTGTACCGTCTACAGTCAGCATCTGTAGAGCATATACTCAAGCAGACCTTCGCTCACCGTCTGGTTCGGGTCGAGCATCGCCTCCGCCCACGCCTTGCTTTCCTTGCTCGCGCTCCGGATCACCTCCGTCCGGCCTTGCTGGTACTTGCGCGTCTGCGCGCTCTCGTAGCACACGCCCGGGCGGCCGAACATCTTGTGGAACGCAAGTTGCTTCACGAGCTGCGCCCAAGCGTCCGGCGACGCCTTGAACGCCTTGATGTGCTCCTTGCCGTAGCCCTCATAATGCAGGACCTCCATGTCATGCTGCCCGACAAGTGCATCGAAGTGTTGTTCTGCCTCGTGCACGTACTGCCGCGTGCGTGCGTCGAGCGTAAATGGAAGTTCCTGCGGCGGCTCAATTTGTGCGTCCGCAGGCGCGGAGCCGAGGTCGACCTTGCCTTGGGCGAGTGAGGCGAGGATGAACTCGTTCAGGCGCAGGGTGGGCGTGCCGTCCATGCACGAGTGCTCCCCGAGGAAGCCGGACTTGCCGTTCTCGAACACGATAACTGGAACAGACGTCAGCTGTAGCCGGCGATGCTGGTACAGGCAGGAACGTACGCTGGTGCTTATCGTAGAACCGGTTCCTGCCGTCTCCGACCCAGCATTGCCAGCTGGCCTGTTCGCGAGTCACGGGCTGGGTGTCGTCAAGGCATACGACCATGATGGCGGACTCGATCTCCTTCAGCGAGGCGGCGTTGGACGGCGACGCAGCCAGCAGCGCGGCGCGAGCCTGATTATAATATGTAAGTAAAGCTCTGTCACGTCGCTCGTTGGAAGCCTACGTCGGTCCAGATGTCACGGTTCTCCGAGGTCAGCGCGCCGACAGGGATCGCGGCCTCACTGCCCGCCAAGGAGATGATCTTCTCGATCTGTGCCTCGAGCTCCGCCGCGGAGAGCTCGCGCCCAGACTTGTCCGCGAGCGGGACCTTGTAGAACTTGTTCTTGCGCACGAACACGACGTGGTTGTGTTTCGCGGGGTCGAACTTCTTCGCCGTGTCCGACGGCTTGGTAGGGTATCGACACGAGTGAAATCTGCGGGAGGTGTTGGGATGAAGAAGGGGCGAGAGCGAGGGGCGGACTCACAGCCACTCGTAGGAGGACATGGCCAGGGGCGCGCCGCGCACCTTCTCCGGCTCGAGTTGACCGCTGCCGATGGATGAGCCAGGTCCGAGGGGAAAGCGCAGTGTGAACATACCTCTCTACCAAGTACCTGAACGGCAGGATCGCCTTCAGGAGCTGCGCTGCACGCTTCGCCTGGCTTGGCCGCGTCTTGTCGTCGACGTGCACGTAGAAGTAGCTCACGAAAACGACGACCGGGTCGCGGTAGCCCATGTACGCCGCCTCGTTCCACCACTCCGCGAGCCAGTTCTTCACATTCGGGTCCGCCGCGCGCGCCTGCAGACGCTCCTGCAGGACCTTCGCCTGCTCCGAGCCGACGAACGCGTTCACGACCTCTTGCGTCTTCGCGAACTGTTCGCGGGTGAGGTGCGGTTCGACCGTCTCGAGATACTTTGCGGCGGTGGAGGAGAGCGTGGGAACGGGAAGTCGTGGGAGCGACGCCTCGTACCGCAGCATGGGCCCCTTGGTAGGGTCGGCGACATACCCAGGCGGTACGTCGGACTTGCGTGGGGCAGAAGACTTGAAGGAGCGCGTTTTGGACATTATCGCAGGTCTATGGGACTACACGCGGTATGGGTCAGTACCATGTCCGTCACGAGGCGCTGGCAGAAGACGTCATGCAAGGAAGCCGGAAAAGGCCCGGGACGCGATCGAGCGCGGGTGTATTCTCTCCCCTTGTGGGGCATTGCGGGGAAGGACTAGCTCTGCATACCTGCTGCAGGCGGGAGATGGCGCGCATGAAGGTCACCGGAGAACGATCAACTCCTAGGTACGCAACGGCTGGTTTTATACACTCATAGACGGGCGAGCGGGATCCCGACAGGAAAGCACTGGCCGATGGGGTGTTCTTCACGGAAATGAGGCGGTCAAAAGGCCCCTTGCACAGACGATGCAAGGTGCCCACCATGTCCACACAACACCATTGTCGTCGATGACTATGGCGCGGCTATGTGTCCCATAGACGGAGAGGGGATGTTGAGGCGGCTTCCGTGTCAGGGGCTCCATCACGTCCATCTCGACGGCAACTGCAGATTGATCACTTGACTCGCGCCCCGCGAAGTTGCACGAACGTCTCCTGCGATTCTTTACTTTAGGCGTGTGGGAACCTCTGAATTCTCTGGAGGGCCCGCTCTACGAGTGGTTGAATGCCAGTACGATATCTATGACGGCAGGGAAGCGCGCACTCCTCATGTCAAATGGCGCCGACATGTGTTCGGCGCCGAAACTCATAGACACCGCTCCCCCGTTTATACGGCTCGTACCAGGCGGCATAGAGTGTCCTTCGCCGCTTTGCCCCCGTTGGAACGGACGCCCTATACGAGCTGAGATACGAAGAGAGCTACGCCACGCAACGAGCACCAGGTATCTATACCCGATGTCTCTGAAGGCGCTCCTCCCGGCGAGGGCGAGTGAACAGCGGAAATCGAGCACTCACGGCCGGTCAGGCGCCTCGATTCCTCCCATTCATTCGCCCTCGCATCTCCCGGGCCGCAACTTTCCCACCCGGCAGAACTCGCGAAGCAGAGAGAAGCTTGAGACAGGTGCGTTCACGTACCAAAGCAGGCAGAGACCGAGTCGAGGCGCGTCGGGTCGACTGGAACATGAAAGCGGGCTGGGCACAGATGCGAGTAGGAGGAAGCAGAGACAGTCAGAGCGACTGGGAGCCTGCTGGCCGTCGCGGAATGCGCGCGGTATATGTATGGACGGTGGTTGGTTGGTGGATGTGCTAGGGGTGGCTTAGGCTGGAATCTGCGCTCTGGGCAGCTCAGGTGGACAGGCCGCGCTCATATGTACGCCGCTCCGGCAACCCGCCACCCCGCATCCGGCATAGCACGGGTTTTGCTCAGATCCCGATCTGGCACCTTACTAGATGGTTCCAGTGTACAATATAGATACCGGGAATGGCTCTTTGATGGTTCAGTGGTGTAGTGGTTATCACTCCTGTCTTACATGGTGCACAGGCGGTCGTCGGTTCGAGCCCGGCCTGAATCATTTTTCACCCCTGTCGATCCCTCTCAGGTCGGGTTTGCTATCGACGCCTTCTCGCCAACACGCCCTAGGCTCCGGCAGCCGTGAACCTTTGCAGAAAATACGATAGTCGTCCGTAAACCCCTTCAGCGCACCAGAAAGTCGCCGGAACAGGCTGCACAAGGTCCGAGTCTGGACCGACCCGGGAGCCTTAGGGGAGCGGCTTCAAGTTCTCAGAAACGGTGCTGCAGAAGTGGGTTGGCTGTTTTGCTAAGAATCTCCACAAGTATAGGAAGTGCACGCACGCAGATGACACCGAAGTAGGGAGCTCGCGGCATTCATCCCCAAGCTGCCCCTTGCCAGAAAGTGTCGCCCTCAGCTGCTTGAGCTTCTCCATCCCGGAGGCCAGGTTGGCGATCCGGTCATCGATTGATTCTTCCGGGTTCTCCAGTGACACGACCCGCAGCAATGCAACGATACGCTCCAACGGAGATATCAGCTGGACCAGATCGAGCGCGCCCTCTCCGGTCGTCGATTCAGAAGGTAGAGCGTCGATGAGGCCGGTGATGGCGCTGCGAAGTTGGTGGAAATCCATCCCGTCTGCCGAGATGTTCTCCGTTTGAATGCGGGGCAGAGTGGTCGAAAGATAGCGGAGCCCTTCGTACACGCGAGCCCTGAGGACGTCCCGCTGAGTATCAGAGAGCTCCGGCTCCACGGTAATTCTCTCCAAGTCGTAGAGTATTTGGATTCCCATGGCAAACGTGCAGAGCGTCGCCAAGCGTGGCTCGCCGTTATCATCGGCCGGCATCTGGCTAACGGCAGCTGCAACTGAATATTGGGCAGTTGTTTCTTAGCTCTAGACATTGGCGGCGCATTGATACTTTCGTAGAAGTGACGCACCATATTCGACGACCGTGTTGCTGACGGAGACGTTGTACATGTCGATGGCAAAGACGATACCGTCGAGGCCCTCCACAGCAGACCTCACCATGTCCTCGTTCGAGAGCAGGCCCGAGGTATTCCAGATGAGCGAAGAGAAGACTGTCAAGGCCCACTCGGCCTGTCGGGGATCCAATCCCTTGCGGGTGAACAATACTGCGAAGCACATATAGCCATCCAGGATATCCCGCATCTCCTCCCAATTCTTGTCGCGGTCTGCAGGCTCCGTGTCAAGCAGGTATATCATGGTGTTGAGCCACAGAGTATTAGCAGCATAATCAGTGAAGAGCGCAACCGAAGGGTAGGGGGTGTCGCCGAAGTGGCCCTTGTTGACTTCATGAAGCCTCGTAAAGCATTTGACCACGCATGTTGACCCCATTTCGTGGTCATGAAGGCATGTCGCCACCGTGGACAGAGTGTCTGGATGGACGGTCGTACTGTACGCCATGACGAGCAGGTCGACATCCAGGTCTTACAACGCGGCCCGCTCGCGCCCCAGCCAGGTCATGAACCGCTTCTGGAAATAACTTCTCCCTGCGCATGTCCAGAGGATGTCGTCGATAGCCTTACTGACTTTCGCGGCCACGCCGGAAAACGCCCGTCGCGCTTGCGGGGACTCAGCTCGTACCCATAGGGATACGCGCCAAATGGACCAGAAGAAGCGATAGCGCAACGTGCGGATCATCAGGACCATTTGCTGGCCGATGGCATATAGCGCGAGAGTCTGAGGAGAGAGATAGGCGCATCCGGGCTTGATGAGTGGCAGCAACGTGGTGAGTACCACGAACGCAAAGAGAATCCCCACAAGGACAGACACGACGGTAGCGACGGTCTGATTGAGGGTCCACAGAAGCACGAGGAGGCCGGCGAGGAACAGGCCGAGCGATACTTGCAACAGAATGGGGATGGCCATGACGATATGGCGCACGTGCCAGCCTATCAGACCGTTGAGGCGGTATTGACGAAGCTGGGCTATGGCGCGCGATGTTCCCGAGGCAATTCCGCTGTTGTACTCGTTCACCCATTGCTTCACCATGATGCCGACGGAAGCCGAGGACAGACTGAGTATGAGGCTCGAGAACCAGAGGGTGTTCAACCACACGGCCGAGAGGGTGGTAGGGGAGTCGGATGGGCTGCTTCCTGGGCCGAGCGCGGGATAGGTAGAGTTGATGAACGTGGGAGGGATACTAGTCGAGAAGCTGCTGAGCTGCAAGGAAATCTGCTGCAACACTGCGAGAGTGGGGTCTGGCGGTGCTTGCTGAAGGAGGAGGTACGATTGCACGTTGAACGCCGTCAGGATGGCGGAGAACAGGCCGGCCTGTCCAGCGCCAAGTGAATCAAACAAATCCGACACCACTACACACACTGCACTTGAGAGCACAGGTTTGTGGAAGTAGCACTTACATAGACCAGGTAGGTGTCAATCTCGGAGTTCCAACGCTGGATCATGTCGTCGCTATAGTTTTTGACAAGCTCCGCAGCATCCGACCATGCCTGATTTGTCTCTTGTGCGCTGTAGAGCCTCGCTCGTCTTTGTAAGAGGTCCTGCACCGTAGGCGTTGTGAGTTTGACTGTGATTTCACCTTTTACCCGGACTCTCACTAACCCTAACCAAGATAGACATGAGGCCTATACACGTACCTGGATGGAGGGAGGCTCTTGTAGGAAAGATGCTCTAGGCTCAGCCGAACCTTCGCCCTTGCCGGCTGTCTCTAGATCAGCCATGGACGGTGCTTCAGGCTCTCGTTGAGGCCCGCGGTCGGTCATGGCGCCGTTGCAGGGATCAACGTAGCTTCTGAGAGAGGACGGCTAACAGGGAGGGGCGGAATTCGCTGCGGAGTAAATAGAATGACTGTGCGTCCGTCCAAGTTGCGAGTCAACGCCGTCTCGGTGCATCTTGGGAGTATACGGACTTGATGGTTATTCCTGGATACACATGAGCGCTAAGGTATAAGCGCCCCAGCTGCTTGCACCGCCACAGCACAGATACGGTATATTCGTCGACGTGCCGACTGCAATCGCGCACTTCGCGTAGACCTCAGGACTCTGGTTGAACGTGGTAGATCTCCGTGATAAAAAGCCCCGAAGCAAGCACACATGTTCCCGACTGACACGTCCGTCACGTACCTCCAAGCTCCAAGAAATACAATAGTCCAGAGTCCATACAAGCGCATTAAGCGCACAGCTTGTCCGCGACCTCTTCCACCAGCTTTCGCACCTCGAGCTTCTGCACCCCTTCCTCCCCACATCCACCTTTTGCGAGCTTACTCTTCAGCGTCTCCCGCGACTGCAATACCTCCAAGAGGCCGCGCAGCTGCGTCTCGTAGAATGGCGACAAGCGCAGCAAAAAGGCTAGCGCGGCAGTCAACCGATGAACTAGAGGTCGAGGTATATTCAGCATACACGCCGTTATTTCCGCCAAGAGCGAGGGGGAGAACACTCACCAACATCCTCGCTCTGCGTCTCGTTCGCGAGCGCCTCGAGCACCACGCTCACCATCTCGACCTCCCACTCCTCGTCCTCCGCGACCTCGACCGGGACCGCGCCCGGCGGCGCCCCGCGCAGCCTCTCGACCCTGCTCTTCTGCAGGAGCGCCGCGGCATCGAACGCGAGGCTCGCCGCCGCCGTGCGCACCGCCGCGTCCTCGTGCAGGAGCGCGGCGACGAGCACGCGCGTGAGCCCCGCGCGCTTTGCCGTGAGCAGCGTCTTGCCCAGCGCGGCGTGCGCGAAGCCGTTCGCGAGCGTGCGCAGGACGGTGAGCAGGTAATTCCGCGCGCCTGACTTCTGCGCGGGGTCGGCGGTGGCGGTGTCTAGGACGGATATCGCCTTGTCGAGGAAGAGTTGGAGCGGGTCGGGGTTGGGTGTTCCGGCGAGCCAGTTCGCGACGCCGTCGTCCAAGACGGCGAGCCGCCATAGGTCGACGAGGGGGAAAAGCTGGGAGGGAGGTAGGGCGTTTGCGATCCTGCTCGTCGTCGACGCCCAACTCGCCAAGAGCGGCGCCGGTGTAGGGAACGCGGGCTTCTTCAGCGCTTCCTCCGCCGAACCCTTAGGGGGGAAACGGGTCTTGAGGAGGGGAATGATGGCCGCAGTAAGGGCTTGTTTGGCGGCTTGAAGCTCCGGAGATGGGGGCGCAGCGTCGATGAACGAGACAAGTTTCGTCGAGACTGTCTCAAGTGCAGGGACCTGTTGGAACAGAATGGGGTTCGTGGAGAGCCCTTCAACAGCGGGGAGCGATAATTTCGTGTGTGGATGGGCTACACGTGATCGCTCAGTACGGGCGTTCCCTCCTCGTCAGACGTTCACACTCACGAGGGAAAGCCTGGAAGAGCAGTAAGTCGACCTGAGAGCGAAGTTCGGGACCATTGGCGCCCTTTAACTCCTCAATCTATGGAGGACAAAAGTAGCGGTCAGCTTTGGGATGCCCGAGAGCAGAGCCGGTTTCCCTCACCTTCTTGCCATCCAGGAAGAACAGGAACGTCGGGGTAACTCGTACGCCCCACTCTCCGGCTACCTGGTTGCCCATGCCGACACCCATATCGACTTTCACGAACGCGACGCGTCCGCTGCCGCTCCCATGTGTCTTCTGGTGCGCGAGGTCCTCGAAAAGCGGCTCGATCATCCGACAAGGGCCACATGTAGCGGATGTGAAGAACACGACGGCAGCGCGGTGCGACTGCAATAACGAGTGCAACGTCGACGGATTCGTGCAGATGTGGATAGGACCGGCCACAGTCGAGCTGCCTGAGGTTGAGTTTGAATTGACAGGCGGCATGGAGGTTGGCGCGGAAAGCGAGCCTGTGGAATACGCTTGGGATGCGACGGCCTGGAGGAGCGCAGAAGCGAGGGCAGGGTTGGGGGACGCGGACGCAGCAGCGTTGAGCGAATCCGATGAGGGAAGCTGGGGGGCGGCAGGGGCAGCTCCAGGTGCGGGCCGGCGGAACATCGCATCGATGGTTGGTCGAAGAGCGGCCCCAAACGGCGTGGAAAGGAAGTCAGAGGGCAGGTCTATATTTGAAACATCAACGTCAGTCGTGCGAGGGGGGTGCAGCTTCAAGTTCGTATACCTTTGATCCATGCCGGTATTG